TATATATCAATTTATATTTATAATATCTTTGATCTCTTTCTAATGGAACTAAATTTTATTCTCTCTTAGAAAACCACCTATGTGGATTACATTGTAGAATTTCTAATTTCTTAAAACGGTACCTTCTTAGAATTCTTAAATTCTACATTCTAATCAAGACCTCTTCTTCTGTACACTTACTTAATAGTCTTCAAACTCATTGGTATTTCTAGTCTATTAGCCTCTCTTCCTTCCCTACTCAGCCTAGAGTAAAGACTACAAAGTTGATTACTCTCACTAGTACCTCAAATCTCCTTGCCCCACCACACCTACCATTTCTAACTAAAACTTCAACTCCAGGGATGTTCAGGATTGGTGGAAGAAATCACATGGAGACACTATTGGCTCCACTACAAATTTAGGATTCTCACCTTAGGAAAGTGACCCTTAAACTGCTTTGCATGTCTTTTTACTTCTCCCTTTCCACAACTCTTGGTCTCATTTTCTTGGTACCTGTTTTAGAATTTTATTGCTCTTTTAAGGTTGATTACCATCCCTCTGATTATTAGCAAGTAAACATGCCTTCTATTTCTCAGAAATAACAGAAGAGCAAATACAATTTTCCTAAAATTCTCTTTCACTCTAGCTTCTGACTTTCCTATTGGCACTGATCCTTTCCTCCTCTTAGCAGAAAAGCTCACATGCCTCCAGTGTAAAGCCAATTCTACCGCTCATGCACTTTGTAATTTCCCTTGCTGTTTTAATTTTATCTTTCCTGTATTTTATCAACATCTAACATGTTCATGCCTCTCTCATATTAAACAAAGCAAACAAAAAACAGTCAAAACTAACCAAAAAGAGGAGTGAATATGTGTCTCTACATCATCTCTGTGGCAAATTTCTCCCACCCTCCCTTCCCCTTCAAAGCTTCTTGTGGGACAATTCCACCTTCTTAGTCTATAAATCTTTAACTTCCTTCGATCCTTGCCTTTTTACAGTCTCACTTCAACCATTCTATCCAAAAGTTACTTCCTAGGCCTCTAAGGCTGATTGTTAAATACAAAGGCCTTTTTTACTGCATTCATCTTATTTGACCTTCCTGTATCGGCCGCTACGGAGCATTTCTTCCTTCATAAAAATGTTTCCTCCGGATATGCCCCCCTCCTAGTTTCCATGACTTATTGGTTTTTCCTGTTTTCCTTCTGACTCAGCCTTTTCAACACCAGCATTCCTCACGACCCCATTCTTGGTCTTCTTTATCACGGTTGATGCATGAGCTCAGAGCCTCCTCTAGTCCACTCACTTCGCCTGAAATCTTTTGCTGAAAGTTCCACGTCACTATGCTCTACTTCTTTGTTCTCCTATATAGTAAACTGCCTACTCCATCTGGAAATTGCAAAACTAAACTTACTGCTTCCTTATTCTTTACAAAACCTGCTCTGCTCCTGACTAGAAACTTCAGTTCCCCTGGAGCCCCCTCTCCCACAGTTCCCACATCTAAGATCACTGTGCAGGTTACTGCAAAAACGTCCCCCAAATCCAATGCTCTGGACTTCACAAATGTCGTCCAAATCTTCAACCTCTCTTGTCTACACTACTATACCAACTAACCTGTCTTCCCGCAGCCAATAAATACTGCCCTCAAACTACCTTTCCAATAATCAAATGTAATCACGCCTTGCTTAAGTATATCTTCATTTACATCCCATTATTTAATGGATTAAAGTTGAAACTTCTTAGCTTGGCTTTTTACAGCCTCGTAGCAATCTATCTCTCATGCTACTCGATGACATGCAGGCTCTACTCTGGCACACTGACTGTCTCCCCATTCCTATCACATATACATCTTCTTTGGTAGGAAAACAACATTTCTTGATGACTAGTTATTAAACAAAATAAAAATACGTATCTTTTATGACTTACCTAAATCTATATGTACAAGTTCTGCTGATTGCTCATTTATCAAGATATTCTGTACATGTCTATCACCAAGTCCAAGTATGTAACCAACTGGGGAAAAAAAACAAACCTGAAATCACTGATATCATCCATTTCTAATAACATTTAGTCATAATTTCAACTATTATCATTGATTACATAATTTTAAGTAGCTTGGGCTTTTTAGCCTATTTAAAGGAAAACATGTTCATAGCTGGCCATTCTGAAGTCAAATCTCACCAGCTATTTTCATTTATACTGCATTTTAAAACCCTAGATAACTTGCTAAAAAGTTTCCCCTTTACAAATACAGCACATATTTTAAAATAGTAGTACTCTGACATTGGTGTGGTAAAAGTTGAGACCATTATTTACCAGGACCAAGTGCATATACATTCAAATATTTATTGAGTAATTCATGAGAAAATTCTTCATTCTTCAGTGAAACTTTCTTCTGCTTGGTTATATTTAACACAAATTAATAATTAATTCATTTCATCAGGTATATACCAAAAAAAAACCCCCAACTGATTTCTATTTTTAAGACAGATTATGACATGACTTAAAATACTTTTAACCTAAAAAAAGACACTAGGTTGTTACAGAAAAGACACCACAGAGGGAGTCAGGATGGTTCGCTCTGTCATTAACGGGGCTTACTTTTCTTGTTTATAACCTAAATTAGTTGAATCAGATGAACGATCCTCAATGTAGAAAAGAAGAGAATTTCATAATTATCTACAATTGTTTTAAACATACATGCCCTGCCTTCTTGGGGAATGGTCCCGAAGTGATGGAGGCAGTGGTCTTTAGCTAAAAGCCAGGGGATTAAAAGATAAAAGATCTCTGTTCTTGTTAGCCCGCACACTCTATGATTTTGTTAATTGCCCTATCTAGCCTTTCCAATCTCTTACAAATGAAAAAAGCAAAACAAAGTCAAAGTACACATTGGACACTGAATATTTAAATAGATATCGTTATTTCTATTCTAAAAACAAAATCTTATTAAACAGAATCAATCATTGGGTGTTTATATGGTATTATAGAGGTTCTGCACAAAGAACACTAATAATTAAGGGAAATAACTTACATGCAGTTATCATGCATTTTATTATTTTCCAAAGGAAATCTCAGAAAATAACACAGTGAATTCAGGCAGAGAAAATAAACCATATTCACTATTAAACAAAAAAGAATAACCAGTCTTGTTTCTCTACCTTGGGGCAGGAGAATTCTCTCCTGCAAAAGCTAAGAAGAGCTACAACTAGAAGCTAAGAATCGGGATGAGCCCAGCCAGAATGGCTCAATGGTTGAGCGTCAACCTATGAATCAGGAGATCGGGGCACATGCCCAGATTGCGGGCTTGATCCCCAGTTGGGGGGGCACGCAGGAGACAGCCAATCAATGAGTCTCTCTCATCATTGATGTTTTTATCTCTCTCTCCCTCTTCCTTCTTCTTTGAAATCAATAAAAAAAAATATTTCATTAAAAAAAATCAGGATGAGCCCTGGTTGGCATGGCTCAGTGGCTGGAATGTCGCTCATGCATCGAAGGGTCGTGGGTTCGATTCCCGGTCAAGAGAGCATACCTGGGTTGCGGATATGATCCCACATGTTGGAGGCAACTGATTAATGTGTGTGTGTGTGTGTGTGTGTGTGTGTGTGTCCCTTCTCCCTCTCTCTTCCACTCTCTGGTATATACTTGATGAATTAATGATTTTAAAAAAATCAAGATGAACAAAAAACTCAATGATCTAAAGATGAAAACAATTTAGTTAACAACCACTATCAATAACACCATCCCCTGCAATTAAGAATGTGGGAAGTGTGAATTTACTAAAATGTGTAAGATTACCAATAGAAGAAGTAGCCACACTGCGAGTATAGGCCAATCGTTTCTCAAACCAAACAGCTGGGTCCAAGAATTTTTCCATGCAGAAATAACGGAACACTGGTTGAAAATTCTTACAAATATCCATGAATGTTTCATATTTCTCTTCATAAGACTTCTTTTGCGCATCCTTTAAATAGATCAAATATAAAATTATTTTCTCAATATTGTGTTCAAGTAATTTAAGCCCACTAAGAGTGTCTATATGGAAAATAGTATGACAGACATAAAGGTAATAAAAAGATAAGGTATCTCTACTCTCAAGGAGCTAACACACTGGTCAGGGAAGCAATTAATAACAAGTTCTAATACCTTTAGGGTTTTCATATTAGTGGAAGGATGCACACTAACTTGCATGATCCTGTAATCTATGTGAAAGTAAACAAAAATGACAAAGGTAGTTCCAGACAGTCTTAGGTGGTGTTATGGCACTAGGTACTAGGGGTGGGATAGGAAACAAAAAGCAGCAAGAAGGGGTCACTGATGGATGGCAAAGCAGCTGACAAGTGTCAGACCTGGCTTCTAACATACCTTCCTGAAGCATGGCTTGTCTACTTCACTGGGCCTACTCTCACCTATGTGCTGATGACTTCCAAATCTCCACCTTTGGCCGGGACACCTTCATTAAGCTCCAGCATGATGTGCTTCCCAATTGCCCACTCAACATCTTCACTGGGATCACTTCCAAATCCAAACTAATCCACCTTCTCAACTGTGGCAAAGCTCAGCCACTTCCTCTATTTTTTACAGTAAATGGCTTCTCCATTTACCCCAAAACCCCAACCAGAAAACTGGGTGCTACTGACTACGTTTTCACCAATCCCACTTCTAATCGGCAACCAAATCCTACCTGTTCTGCCTACTTAATATTTCTCATATGTACCTCCTATTCTCCATTCCTATTGTTTATGAATCTTAGTTCAGATAGCTGTCTCATGCCTTTAGTCGGAATTTTTGAAAACATAACCCACAGTGCTGTCAGAGTTATCTTTTTTTTAAATGTTTTAATTGATTTTTAGAGAGGAAACATTGATGAGAGAAAGAAACATCAATGGCTGCCCCTCACTGGCGATCAAGCCCTCAACCCAGACGTATGCCCTGACTAGGAACTAAACTAATGACCTCTTGGTTCATGGGTCCATGCTCAACCATTGAGCCACGCAGGCTGGGCCAGAGTTATCTTTCTAAAATGCAAATTTGATATTAACATTCTTCTCAAGGGTCCTCTATTGCCTACAGGACAAAGTGCACATTTCTTAGCATATAATGCAACCCTCTATTTTTTGACTAATGATTACTGATTCAATATCCTATCTGCTCCTCCTCAAAGACTAAGGCTGTGCTGTCTTTAACTGCATGTTCACACCTTCTTCTCTTTGCTTGTATCTTCTTCTCCTTGAAGACAAATTCGTTTACAAAACTTGCCTCAAACACCATCTCCTCTATGAAGCCTTTCTTGGATCGGATTCTCTCCATGCCCCATCCCAGGGAGAACTAACCACATCCTCCCTGTGCTGCACTGTACCCTCTATACCCTGAACAATGAAAGGAGAAGTAAGTGCATTTTAGAGTTGCAGAGACAAGGTTCAAACCCTTGCTCCGCCACTTATTAGCTCAATGACCTTGGGCAAGTGAAGTTCTCTGCATTTCTTCTCACCTTTCAATGGGATGAGGACAATGATTAGTGATTTGTGAAAGCTCACCTGGTGCAGAGGAGGCATTTAATAAGCACTGCTGAGAGTGAATGCCAAATGGCCACTGTAATGTGGCAAATGTCCTAGAAGCTCTCTATATTAGTTTCAGATAAAAATTATTTCATAATGGTTTTTAGTGTTTTGTTAAGAATCAGCATACATTGAAAAATATTAAATTTCTCATCGGACAAGGGTTGACATTACAGTTTAAAAACCTTCTTTTTCCACTCATACAACCTTTTATTCCGGTGAGCTTTCTTTCTTTTACTTAGTATCATTAACAATTACCTGCAGAAATTAAAACTGTTTGTATTCTATATGTGATAACCTTGAGCTTTAATAAACTATTAAACAATCCTGCAATAACTCACACTTTTGGGTGTCACTTACCATCATTTTCTTCTGGCATTGATAGGCACTGATATCGTTTGGTCTGTATCTTTTATGAGCACCATTCTCATTGTTAACAAGAAATTCACCAATAGGGACAGTTCCTGTGCACCATTCGAGAACACCACTTCGCTGAGAAAGGGGAACCACCTAAAGTTATAGATTAAATACCTTTTGATTATGGAAGGGCGTTAAATAGCATATGATAATCACTGCACTATCAGAGTCAGGGTGAAGCATTTTCTCAAGTTGTATTACTATTTCTCTATCCGCAGGAGACAAAGTTCTTTGGAGGAAAGCTGACTCTTCAGGCTCAAAGATCTTCTGGCCTGCTGCTTAGACTTGAGAACCTGCTCATCTCTTAGTCTCCATGGTTCCCTTGAGAAGTCAGTCCTGTTTATGGTCCCCTTCATCACCCACACTGAGCCATACTTAGTTGGTTCCACTTGGAAGAGGAATTAGCCCTGTTTTCCTTATACTTTGTACTTTGAAAAAATGTTTTTATTGATTTGAGAGAGAGGGAAGGGAAGGGTTAAGGAGAAACATCAATGAGAGAGAAAACACTGAGCAGTTGCGTTCCTTAGAGCCTCCACTGGGGGTTGAACCCACAACTGTTTTTGGCATACAGGACGATGTTTTAACCAGCTGAGCCCCTGACAAGCGCAGTATTTCCTTCTTAATAGCACTTTTCTTCTTAAGAGTACTTTTACACCAGAAATAAGCCAAATGGTTAAAGATAAAGAAAAAATACTTTAGTTGATTATAAGAAACACCTCACTGCAGTTAACATTAATGAGTTCTTTAAAAAAAGAAAAAATAACCCAAAAAACAATGTGGCTAAATCAGAGATTGGCAATCCATGGCCTTGGGCAAATCCCAGCCCAGACTGCTTTGAAGAGCCTGTGAGCTCAGAATGGGGTTTCAGGTTAAAAGGGTTGTAAAGAAAATGTAAAGGACAGATGACAGAGACATTTTGTGGCCCATAACATCTCTAATGTGTACTATCTGGTCCTTCACAGAAAACATTTGCTGACCCCTGGTCTGAATATTACTCTTGGTGAAGCAGCACAAGTAAAAACCAGTTACCTTGTATGTGCAGATAGTCAACTTCCTCTTCCTGGTCTCAGTGTTTCTCTGCAGCAACGTATTACACATCTGGAAAACCTGCTGCATGACAGCATCTTGTCTCAGGTCATCACGGCCCTTCAGAATAATAAAAAAAAGAATAACTAAGCACAGTTCATTTCTTTACAATAAAATCATAGCAAGAGACATCTGAGGACAGCGAAAGGGCACTCAGAAGTCAATCTGAGCATCAGTGCTCCTCTTAATGGTCTCTTAAATAATTAAGACCTAGGCTATTCTTTCATAAAGAAGCTGTAACACTGAGTAGGCAGAACAATTTAGAAAAAAGAATCTCCCTCAACTGAAACTTCTCCACCTGAGGGCAAGCTGCAAAAGAGCTGGGTGGGGCAACTGTTCTCTCTCTGCCACTCCTCAGCGAGGCCCAAAGAGCTTTTGAATAGATTAAGGGAGAATCGCCATCCTTTCTGGTACATTTGCTAGCACTTGGGTATAGTGCCAGACTCAACATATTGAAGCAAGGACCTTAAACTTGAACTAATCAAGAAGAGAAGTAACAAATACCAACAACATATTTCACAGACCTAGAACAAACTCTCCACAAATTCATATGGAATAAAAAAGGACCCCGAATAGCCACAGCAATCCTGAGAAAGAAGAACAAAGTTGGAGGAATCACAATACCAGATATCAAGCTATACTGCAAAGCCACTGTTCTCAAAACTGCCTGGTACCGGCACAGGAACAGACATATAGACCAGTGGTTCTCAACCGTCCTAATGACGCGACCCTTTAATACAGTTCCTCATGTTGTGGTAACCCCCAACCATAAAATTGTTTTCTTTGCTACTTCATAATTGTAATTTTGCTACTATTATGAATCGTAATGTAAATATCTGATATGCAGGATGTATTTAGGTGACCCCTGTGAAAGGGTCGTTCGACCCCCAAAGGGGTCACAACCCACAGGTTGAGAACCGCTGATATAGAACAATGGAACTGAACAGAGAACCTAGAAATCGACCCAAACCATTATGCTCAATTAATATTTGACAAAGGAGGCAAGAGCATAGAATGGAGTCAAGATAGTCTCTTCAATAAATGGTGTTGGGAAAATTGGACAGAGCCTTGCAAAAAATGCAACTAGATCACCAACTTACACCATAAACAAAAATAAACTCAAAATTAATAAAGGATTTAAATGTAAAACGGGAAACCATAAAAATCTTAGAAGAATCCATAGGCAACAAGATATCAGACATATGTCTTAGCAATATCTTTACTGATACAGCTCCTGGAAACTAAGGAGAAAATAAACAAATGGGACTACATCAAAATAAAAAGCTTCTACACAGCAAAAGAAACCAACAACAATACAAGAGAGCCCACTGCATGGGAGAACATATTCGCCAATGTTATATCTGATAAGGGTTTAATCTCTAAAATTCATAGGGAACTCATACAACTTAACAAAAGGAAGATAAACAATCCAATCAAAAATGGGCAAAGGACCTAAATAGACACTTTTCGAAAGAGGACATACAGAAGGCCAAGAGACATATGAAAACATGCTCAACCATCAAATCAACAAACTACTACCTCCCTACCGTGGACAAGCCGTCTGTTAAATGTTACCATGTTTGGGAGATAAGACATGGACACTGTCCTCAAGGACATGACATTCTATCTGGGAAGCAGTGACTCCAGCACATTAAAAACAGTTGTGAAAAAGAAGGAACTCTTACCCTTTGAGGCAGCATGGATGGACCTGGAAAGTATCATGCTAAGCGACATAAGCCAGTTGGAGAAAGGTATCACATGATCTCACTCATTTGTGGAATATAATGAACAACATAAACTGATGAACAAAAATAGATCCAGAGACATAGAAGCATGGAACAGACCATCAAACCTCAGAGGGAAGGCAGGGGAGAGAGAGGGTAAGAGATCAACCAAAGGACTTGTATACATGCATATGAGCATATCCCATGGGCACAGACAGTAGGGGGGTGAGGGCATGTGCGCGGGGGAGAGAATGGCTGAGAAGAGGTCAATGGGGGGAAAAAGAAGATGTGTAATACTTTAAACAATAAAGAATTTAAATTAAAAAAAGAATATAGGTAACAATCCCCAAAATATCTTTCCTATAACAAGCAAGCTGATTGTTAACCTCATCCTGTCTGTACATGTAAAATCGTTATAATAATGATGATCTTTCAGAGACACATAAAAAGATGGAGAAAAGCATTGTGCTTCTAGAAAATAATATATTTCTATTCTATAAGTTTTCCTTACTTGTAATTATTCAGAATAAAGACATAAATAAAGCAGGAAGAACATATCTACGTTTTCTTTGACTTTTTTCATCAACTCTCTAAGAACCACACCACAGAAGGGGAGCCTCACCTTGACAAGCTGTCTCCTTTCCTTGCCGTCAGAGCCCACACAATCTATTATTTTTGGTAAATTTACACCTCCTGCTAAACGAAATTCTGCTTTGAATGACTGTATAGTCACCAGGTTTCTATATTCTCCTGTGGGGTCCACCTAATAAAAAATATAAAAATGATAATAGGTCAGATACACTATTTGAAAAATGAATTATCATCAATAATTTTAATACTAAAAAGAGGAAGGAATGTCAATGTGCTGTTGGTTAAGAACTGGAGCTATAACTTTCTGTTAAATGAAAGAGAATATTTGACATTGACAAGGCTTTAAAAAATGACACTACTTCCCTAAATATATCTTAATAAAAGTAGGGTATACAAAATTGGAATAGTGTCATTGAAAAATTATTGAAAACATGTCTTAACACTGACTTGTATATGTTAAGTCATCTGAGAAATAGTACTCACAAAATCATAATAAGGTAAACTTTAGAAAAGCATGGAGAGGAGTTCTCTAGGATATAACTACTAAGTATGCATTTTCAGGAATTATTCAGCTAAATAATATTGATGGAATAGTTGGGAAGATATTAGTTAATTCACATAAAACAGCTATACTTCAAATCAAATAACTTCAGGTACTAACCACTGAATTGCAAACTCAAAAGAGAGATTTATAATGTAGTTAAAAATGATCATTTTCTAAACTATAACCTTTATTATTACATAGATCCCTGACCATGGGGTACTTATAGCAATAAAAGATCATTATTACATAGCTAAATGTATCGTGTACATTATAATCAATTTTATATTGCAACACATACTGCATTGCTTAATACTGTAATACATCAAAAACAATATATTATAATGCATATATATTATAATGCATATAGAACTTTAAAAACCAGTAACACAAGTAGGAACTTTCTTGCAAGTTAAAAACTAATCTTGGCATAAGCACATGGAATTTTTCCTTCTGGACAATGAAGGTAACAGTCTATAGACATTCTTCATAAGAAAGATGGGGGTATGGAACTGAAGGCAAAGGAAAAGAAAGCTGGAGAGGCCTTACGCATTTTAAGGCTTGAGCACAGGGAATCTAATAAAGAAAAAAACTATAGGTTGAAACAAATGAAATTGCCAGTATTTAACCAATTTTGATCTACAAAAAAGACGATTTCTAATGATTTAATCTAACACAGAGGAATTGAGTTTAATAAAATAAAAGAGTTGATGGTAAATTACCTTAATTTCCATAGTAGGAACAACAACATCTTCTAAGTCCTTAAGTTTAGTAATTGGCTGGTCGGCTGGAATTTTTATGCCTTCTGTATTTAAAATAAAGAGGTTTTAGTGGCAACCGAAAACTGAGGAACGGCACTGACAGTAAAGCACAATTCAGCAGATGCCACAGACCCTCCCTTCTGGCTGATCCCTGGTTTAGGAATGAAGATCCAAGGGCTCGGGACACGCTATAGCTCAGGGTCAGAGCATAGCGATGGTTAATTTAACATGGCTTACAAATGCAGTTGCTGGTTACCTGGCCCTGGGAATCAGATGGAGGGGGACAGCTTGAGCACTTTGAGATAATGACATATTTTTTAAGTCATTACATAAGATAATTACCTAATGTATTCCTGCCATACTATTAAAAGTGACTAAAGGGCCCTAGCTAGTTATGCTCAGTGGCTAGAGCATCAGCCTGCAGACTGAAGTGTCCTGGGTTTGATTCTGGTCCAGGGCACATGCCTGGGTTGCAAGCTCGATCCCCAGTAGGGAGCGTGCAGAAGGCAGCTGATCAAAGATTCTCTCTCATAATTGATGATTCTGTCTCTCTCTCCCTCTCCCTTCCTCTCTGAAATCAATACAAATACATTTTAGAAAAAAAAGAGTGACTAAAGGACATGACGGTATTGTTTGTTTGTTTAGAGCAGTGGTTCTCAACCTTCCTAATGCCCCGACCCTTTATACAGCTCCTCATGTTGTGGTGACCCCCCCCCCACCACCACCACCATAAAATTATTTTCGTTGCTACTTCATAACTATAATTTCGCTACTGTTATGAATCGTAATGTAAATATCTGATATGCAGGATGTATTTTCATTGTTACAAATTGAACATAATTAAAGCATAGTGATTAATCTCAAAAACAATATGTAATTATATATGGATTTTCCGATGGTCTTAGGCAACCCCTGTGAAAGGGTCGTTCGACCCCCAAAGGGGTCGCGACCCACAGGTTGAGAAGCGCTGGTTTAGAGGCACACAATAAATCTCATTCTTATTTTAAAGTAATAATTATTGAATTTAAATGTGAAGATATGATTCTAAACAAAATGGAATATCATTATTAAAGTATGGGGAGAGAGATACTTATAAGTGAATGCATATAATCAAAAATTACAGCATCTTATAATTATTTTAACAGACACAGCAAGAAGGATGGATTACATGCAAGGCATTCTATGGAAGAAATGGAGGCTTCTTCATTTTTAAGTCCTAGGGCACAGTGAGTACCTAACTATTTTAAAAAGCTTTGACCCTAAAAAATCTTAGCTATTCAGTTATTTTAAAGGATGTGCTTCTATACAATTCTCTGCAACAGAAGATTACCCAGAGAAATCAAATAATTCAGTGTGGCCACCTATTATCAGTTCTACCAAAATATATTAAGTGAAAAAGTGAATGGTATTGAAGCCATTAGATGAAAATTAAGTTTTGGATCATGTGTGAATTGCAATCAACAGGACCTTTGTATCTATAATTACAGTAATGTTTGTGATTTAAAGAGACTTACACATTAGGTTCTATAATTAACATATCTCTACAGAGAATAACATAGCATGAAAGGAACACTCATTCTTTTAAACACATACTTCTCTGAGTCTTCCACTGAGTGGCATCAAAGTTTGCTAATATAATATAGGCATCACAAAGTGTCTCAACACTCCTGACCATCTGGGGTCTCCTACTTCTGATAGCACTTATAATTTTGGTTGCAGCCTCAGTTCGATCCTATTCATAAAAAAACAAAGAACAATGCATAAGAAAATACCTGACATTTCAACTTTTCAGATATAATAACAAAAGAAAAAAAAGAATGTATGCGCACATGTAGGCAATGAAAGGACTATAATCCCTCAGATCCAAACAAAACAGCTCCCTTATGAATGAAATACATAAAAGATATAATAATCTCAAGAGTAAGTGGCGTGGGTGCCTTTCAAAATCTAGTTTTTATTTGCTCATTGCTGTGAGGAAAAAAATGTAAAATATTACTGGTATCTCCTATGCTTTGAGCAATATTCAGAAATTTGGAACCAATTTTAAGTGGCATCATAATAACAAAGGATTTACAAACTGATTCTAGTCACAACACACATTCTTAGAATCACTGGAATTTAAGAAAAGAATATTCTAGGAAAATATGAATATCACAATTCAAAAAGTTATATATGTTTAATCCAAATACCTCATCAAGCTGAGAGCTCTGTTTAGGTGCATTTTTAGTTATTCTACTCCTTCTTGCTGCCTCTGATTTTGTCAAAGATTCATCTTTGTTCGCATTTGCTAAGGCCAATATAATAAACAAAGTATGATGGGGGTGATCCATTGAAATTCTAGAGATGAGCTGTCACAAATGAAGAACTATTAGTTTTAAGCAAACAAACAAAAAAGTAGAAAATCCACAACACTTTTCATTTTACTTAACATTGAGATATGTGTTACTGTACTAGATACCGCAGTGGGTGAAGTATGGGTTAGAGGAAGGGTACATAAGGATAAGAGAGAAACTGAGTAATGTATGTGCAATGAGAGGAGACAAAAGGAAATCTTTGTTCTTGCCCTTGGCACAATATATAGAGGACTAAATTCTTTTGTATTCCCATTTCTTAGAATGGAACAGCAGTACATACTTGATATAGTATATGGTAATATAAAAGAAAAGCAATTGTTGTTTTGATTCCCAGGTTTACTTACATTATTGAGGATTTCATGAAATCCTAGGCCTCCCGTCATCTTGGTCCCCATTCTAGCAGCCAGTTGGTACATAAGAGGCAAAAATTTATATGATGGAATCTTCATTCCATATCGCTATCATTAAAAAAGAATACAAAATTAAGAAACAATGCATTTCAAATAGTCTCACATCTAAGTAAATAAATTACTCTAAGGCAGTGGTTCTCAACCTTCCTAATGCTGCGACCCTTTAATGCAGTTCCTCATGTTGTGGTGACCCCCAACCATAAAATTATTTTCGTTGCTACTTCATAACTGTAATTTTACTACTGTTATGAATCGTAATGTAAATATCTGATATGCAGGATGTATTTTCATTGTTCGCGACCCACAGGTTGAGAACCGCTGCTAATGCTCTTCAACTAGCACAACCTGTGGTTGTTATTAAAACTTCACTACATTTTTTCCTTATCATTTATCTTATCTGAGTCTTTCTGATTGGCATTCTAGATTGATCCATCGTATTTGATCCTAAATTAAATTATATTGAGAATTGAAATACTTGGCACTGTTTTATTCCAGTGAACCCAAGAAGGAACGTGGATCTGGATCTGAGGACCATGGTGATCTGCACTCCTGAGCAGTCAGAGTATAATAAGATTGGGTAATTATTACCCCCTACATGCCAACAGTAACAGGTTTGTGCACTAGTAACTGAGACTGGTTGTGTCTATTATGAGTCTTACCATTCTTTTCATCCAGCAGAACCATTTTACTTTTAAGCTTCAAATTGACTGTCCCCCCACAAAATGTATATACACTTTAACAGCCAAGAGCTCAATTTTGAAAATGAAATTTATTTTAACTTTAGGGGTGTCCCTGAAAATGTATATGCACTTTTAACAGCTGAGAGCACAATTCTGAAAATGAAATTTATTTTAACTTTAGGGGTGTCCCTGAAAATGTATATGCACTTTTAACAGCTGAGAGCACAATTCTGAAAATGAAATTTATTTTAATAAACACTGTCTTTATAATTATTCAAAGTGTGTGTACATATTTTGGGGGATACCCTATATATAATTAACATAACTTTAATTTTAGGTGTCATCAATAAAATCTAAGATTTTTAAATAAAAACTTATGAAATACTGCTGCCTTGATGCTTTCCTAAAAATTTATTTTCCACTTACAAAAGAATTCTCTGTAAAAATTCTAGAAAAGCATAAGGCAGGCGAAGAAATCTACCTGTGACCTTATCATTTCTTTAAAAATATATTTTTGTTGATTTCAGAGAAGAAGGGAGAGAGAGAGATAGAAACATCAATGATGAGAGAGAATCATTGATTGGCTGCCTCCTGCACGACTCCTACTGGGCACCACAGCCCGCGCATATGCTCTGACCAGGAATCGCACCGTGACCTCCTGGTACTATGAGCACCAAGCCAAGTGCTGGGGATACAACGTATACATAATCCCTGATACTAAGCTTTTCAAGCACATGGTAGAATATCAGGTTGAAAAAACAACTTGCCTTTATCATGCCACTGACTTCAGAAACTCCAGAATTTTCAAGCCAGAGAGAACATAGACGAAATATCCACATATCATGCCCTTCTCCACTTAACAGGCAACTGATGTAATTTTCAACAGCTTTACATAAGAAACGCTTCCGATCCTCTTTCAGAGCACGGAGGGCACATTCATCCAGCTCCAGCTCTCGCTGAACCTTTATTGTGTATCTTGCATTGAATAATTAAAGTAAAACACAAAAGCCGTCAAATTTATAGGACTACAAATTCATACATGATATACAACATAAGTGAAAAATCAGAAAAGGCAAAATCCTAAGGGTTATAAAGGAAACAAACTTACTTTTTTGTCTTTTTCTTTTACTTTTTGTCTTAAAGTAAGTTTGTGCAATTCAAAAGCTATCATAGACAACCAAAGACAGAGTGGACTCTACCTAAGGTATTTAGTTTACTTTATTCTCTCCTTACACTAAAATATACAGACCAAAGGCAAGTTGGAATAAAAGGTTCAATTACATCAAAATAGGTAATCTTTTGTATTTAATTTCAACACCTCTTTTTTTTTTATAACTAAAGGCCCAGTGCACGAAATTTGTGCACGGGTAGGGTCCCTAGACCTGGCCAGCGATCAGGGCTGATCTGCGGGGCAACCAGCAGGAGATTGGGCGCCCCTGCTGTCACCTGCCTTGGCTGGCCTGGCGCCACACGCTCACCGGCCCCACCCCCTGCCACCGCCTCCTTTCGGGGCCTGCGGGTTGGGGGCAGTTCCTGTGTCTGCCCCTTGGTGGACAGTGTGCATCACAGTGACTGGTTGTTCCACCAGTCGTTCCGCAATTTGGTCGATTTGCATATTACGATTTTATTACACAGGATACCAACAAACCAAAACAGCAAAACAAAAAGCTAACATCCATCCTATATAACAAAAGGGTAATATGCAAATTGACCCTAACAGCAGAAAGACTGGGAATGACTGGTCACTATGACACACACTGACCACCAGGGGGCAGATGCTCAATGCAGGAGCTGCCCTCTGGTGGTCAGTGCACTCCCACAGGGGGAGCTCTGCTCAGCCACAAGCCAGGCTGATGGCTGCCAGCACAGTGGTGGTGAGGGGCCCCCCTCACTCCACAGACACCCTTCAAGCCCCAGCGCTGCCCACGGAGGGACCACAAGAGGTTGGCTCTAGGGCAGGGGTGGGAAAACTTTTTGACTCCAGGGCCACAATGGGTTCTTAAAATGGACCGGAGGGCTGGAACAAAAGCATGGATGGAGTGTTTGTGTGAACTAATATAAATTCAAAGTAGACATCATTACATAAAAGGGTACGGTCTTTTTTTTTTTTTAGTTTTATTCATTTCAAACGGGCCAGATCTGGCCCGCGGGCCGTAGTTTGCCCACAGCTGCTCTATAATGAGCTTAGAACCAGAACATGAATTCTGTGTATCTGTATACCTATAGTCACAGTATACCTGTTTATCTTGTCACTTGTAGACACCTAGTTAGTTACCTGTTATTGCTCTGAATATTATGTTCCCTAAGAAGGCCCACTTCCTCTTTAGCCCTTTTCAGGAGAGCTTGTTTGTTTTCAAATTCTGATGATTTCATGTAGTTTTCAATCCTCTGGTACTGAGTATCTGAGAACCGTGCTAATGAGAGAAATGCCTTCATTTGTCCATTTCTGAGCTCATCACTGCTTTCTCCATCGTAATTTCCAGCAACTTCTACTGCCTTCAAGAAAACACAATCCGTTTATATTACATTTACAGGTACAAAAGGCATCTCAAGAATCACACAGGTCAAAGCAATACCTACGCTAAAGTTTAACTTGTTTATGCACTAGCTAAATCATATGAACTACTCTACTTTCTTGACTTTTCAAAACAACTCTGATAGTTACAATTAAACTAAAGCAGTAAGAGGGAGAAACAGGAAGGTTGAAAGGGGCTAGACTACAGAAGTCCTAATTCTAATTGCTGGGTGGTTGGGCTACAAATGAATAGCACAGGCTGACTTGCACATTCCTTAATCAGCTAGTTTTGTACATAAATAGATGGAGAAATTATCAGAAACAACTTGTTGAAAGAGTGGGTGCTGGTTGCGGGGAAAAGGAAAACACATTTGAGCTTACTTTTAAAATATGCTCCTTCTTGGGAGAAAAAGGAGACATGTAATACTTTCAACAATAAAGAATTTAAATTTTAAAAAGAATGCTCTTTCTTTTGCAATATTCTATTCCATTCTGCCCTACAGTTATATAGAGCTACAGCAGTATTAATTATACTAATAAAAGCCTAGGTGGTTGTCACGCCCTCGCACGACGTTGTTACAAGATGGCCATGCACACAGAGGAGGTGGGGCCTGGTGGCCGCTCTGCACAATGAGGCCTGGGGGTCCTGCGGCTCCACGTGGCACAGAGGACGCCAGTCCTACGTCTCTGCTGCCTCGCGAGGAGGAAGTGGGTCCTGGCGGAGGAGGCAGGACCGGCAGGGGAGGGCAGTTGTGGGCGATAGGGCCGGCAGGGGAGGGCAGTTGTGGGCGATCAAGCTTGCAGGGGAGGGCAGTTGGGAGCCATCGGGCCAGAAGGGGAGGGCATTTGGGGCCTTCAGGCTGGCAGGGGAGGGCAGTTTGGGGCCATCAGGCCAGCAGGGGAGCAGTTAGGCATCAATCAGGCCAGCAGGGGAGCGGTTAGGGGGCAATCAGGCTGGCAGGCAGAAGTGGTTAGGGGCAATCAGGCAGGCGAGTGGTTAGGAGCCAGTGGTTCCGGATTGTGAGAGGGATGTCAAACTACGGGATCGGGCCTAAACCGGCAGTCGAACCTCCCCCGAGGGGGTCCCAGATTGGAGAGGTGCAGGCTGGGCTGAGGGACACTCCCCCACCCCCGTGCACGCATTTTGTGCACCAGGCCACTAGTAATATATAATACATAGAAATTATACTTTATTTGCTTTTGAAATAAATTTGGCCTTGATGAAAAGATCAAGTTTTATTCATGCTAAACAACTGTCTTAATGGTTGCAAGAAAACCTTACCTTTTCTAGATAGGTCTGCATGATGACTGCAGGATTTTCTAAGCAAGTTTCTGCTAACCAGTTGCCACAAACCCTCAGACATTCTGTGTATATAAGTTTTTGGTTGGGATCATCCTGCATATGAAAAGCAAAATCTTAAGATCTTAAAAGCATCATCAGGACTATACAAAAATATCTTTCACTTGGGGAAAAAAGCAGGTTAACAATGTTTCTCTTTATCTGCTTTCACCACACAACTATTTTAATAATCCAAGTAAGTAAATTTATGGAATATTCACCCACTACTTATTATTACTACTATTACTGGAATAACTTACAATTATTGAGTATTTGTTTATGCCAGGCACTTTCTAAGGGCTTTATGTATATTTACTCATTTAATCCTATGAAATGAGTATTATCTTTAATTTGCAGAGTAGAAACTAAAATTGAGGTACAAAGAGGGTAGGTAACTGCAGACAGCCTTACCCCAGGGCCCATATTATTAAACAAAGTTTAAACATCATATCATATGGGCTCCCAGTACTCTGGCATAATAGTGATTTTTCTAATAATGGAAGATGCCATACAAATGCTCAATACCAAAAGTGCAATGAGTTGATATTCACTAATCAGGTGCACGTCAGACGGACATTATTGTGACCACACCCTTTAACACATTATTATTCCTACAAATGCCTCTACTTTTGTCCATTATATGCTGGAAATAAAGCTTTAGAGCAGCCAAATCTTCAATAACTAATAGGAAATGGTAGACAAAACATTAACATTATATTTTCAAAGTATTTGGATTGACATCCTAATTATTCCAACTTGCTTATTTTAAAACTTTTGTTCTCTCAAGCATTTTTCTCTTAGTTATTTCAAATTGATAGTAACTTCATGTTTGTTTCCCACATGTCCTTCCTGAATCTTATAGGAAAAGGAATTGCAATAAATCAAATAAATCTATCATAAGATGGACTGATATAATTATTTCAAATAGGAAAAATGAATACTTTTTTAACCCTTTCACAAATATTAATTTTTCAGACTACTTTTTACAATTTCTTACTCATAGCAGTAATTTCAAGGCTATAAAAATTATGAATTTATTAAAAATATTTAAAGCACCATAATTTTTTTATAACAAAATATTAATTCAGCCAATAAAAAAGGAGTGAACCTTGGAACAACTGGCATCCAACTTCTTGATCATTTGCTTGAGAATATTCAGGGCAAGGCTCTGCTCCTGCTTTGCCCAGAATACTTGCGCTTCCTCCAGCTGCCACCCAGAAACTCCACAACTAGTTGAATTATATTGTTTAATTTGGAATATTGCCCTTTCAGGGAGCTGAAATGAAAAGAACACATGGAAGTAAATGTTTTCACTATTATTACTACTAGGATTCATTGAGTTCTTGACTCTTCGTCAGAACTGTCCTAGGCACATCTCCACCTGCCTTTCCCAGCCCTCACATCTGACTGTTTTTCTCACATATATGTATGTGTGGGTATACACAGTACATAAAATCATTAAATTGGTAGGTATCTTCTCATTTTATAAATAGGAAATTGAGGCTTAGAGGAGATAAGTACCTTGCTCAAGGCTTAAAATCAGATCTAACTCAAAAATGGAAACCTTAGCTTAAACAATTATGCTATACCATATATATATTTTTTTAACATATTCCTATTGAGTTCAGAGAGAAAGGGAGTGGGAGAGAGAGCTAGAAACATCAATAATGAGAGAGAATCATCGATTGGCTGCCTCTTGCATGCCCCCAACTGGGGATCCAGCCCACAACCCGGGCATGTACCCTGATCGGGAATCGAACTGTGACCTCCTGGTTCACAGGTCAATCAATGCTCAAGCACTGAGCCACGCCAGCCAGGTGCTATACAGTATTTTAAGTGATCTCTGTCTCTCAATGACATTGCTTTCTGACTCATGCTTTCTATTTTCTAGGTAATAAAAAACCAGTCAAGAGGTGAGATGACATAGTTTTAAATTCAATTACCTGGGTGTTCTTGAAAGTTCGGGCTAGTACGGAGAGTTCCACAAGGTGCTTGGTGAGAATGTCCTTAAAACATTCTCTTTGGGAGTTCTCCATTTCTTTTTCCATCAAGAGCTCCAGGATGACTGTGCGCAGAGCCATGATCGGCTCCTGAAAACTGAAATCACTGTCTTTGAGAAGCTGGGAGTGCTTCCGCCACTTAATGTATACTTCAGAGGGTTGCCTTTCCACGACTGATCTGAAAGCAAAATCACAGAATTAATGTAATCAAGAGAAATGGGAAAAATGTGCTATAATGCAGCGTCTAAATTTAAGATATAATACAAAAGAGTTTATTAGAGTAACAGGAATAGAACTTCTAAATAATCCAAAATAAGGGTCGAAGTTTAGAAAATTACAAAATGGTCCAAGCTCTGAGGGTCGACAGAGAGGTTACAGACAATGAACATTTAAAAAAATTTTCTTAAAAATACTCAGATTTGCTTGGCCAGCGTGGCTCAGTGATTGAGCATCGACCTATGAACCAGGAGGTCAAGGTTCGACTTCAGTCAGGGCACATACCTGGGTTGCAGGCTCAATCCCCAGTGTGGGGTATGCAGGAGGCAGCCGATTAATGATTCTCTCTCATCTTTGATATTTCTATATCACTCTCACTCTCCCTTCCTCTCTGAAATCAATAAAAATATATATATAAACAATGAAAAAACCCAAAACACTTAGACATGGCACACACACATGAAGAATGATAATTGTATAATTCCATTACTGAGATTTAAAAAATA